CCCCAAAAAAAAGGAAAGAAAAGAAAAAAAGATATCGATGGGATAAGGCACTGTGAACTTAAACGCAACAAGATTGTAACTCCAAACACACAATTTAAAAAAGAAAAGCTGTGTTGTGCATTAATACTCAGTGTTTTCAGGAGAATCATGAAGTACAACTGTTTTGTGAGTCTGTGCTTGTTTGTAATTGTGAAATGAAGATCAGACCACAGTTAATTATAAATTGTTATTTATTGTCACAGTGAAAGAAAAATCAGTCAACTTTGTTTTAACTGTTTATTTAAATTCTGAGATATAAATTAAACGGATAATTGTTTTGACTCCTGTTATTATGTTTGGTGTAAAATCTAGAAAATATATAAAGATAGTCTGAAATAGATAAAAGTGAACTTCTGACAGCAGCACAAGGGTCAGAAAAAGTGAACTGGTTTATATTTAGAAAACAGTAAACAGGTACATTAAAAAAAAGGTTAAAGTACTATACAAGAGTATTTTGTACAATGCACAAGTGGTACCATACACTAAAATACACATCAGACTTATTAACATTTGTATGTATGACAGATAACAGACTTTTCTAACCAGTATCATTTTCCCTCATTTATTTGTTTCAGGAATTTAAAACATCAGGCTCATCCAATGTCGATACCAGCAAGGTCACTGGAACCCTAGAAACCAAGTACAAATGGGCTGAATATGGGCTGACGTTCACGGAGAAGTGGACCACGGAAAACACTCTCGGGACAGAAATTTGTGTTGAAGATCAGGTAATTTATATCTTGGCTATAGTGTTGATCATTCCAAATATGAAATTGGAAAGTAAATAAATTTTTGTTTTTTAGATCACCAAAGGCCTGAAACTTACATTTGAGACAACGTTTTCACCTAATACTGGGTAGGTTATTTACTGATTGGAAATTCATGATTGGCAGCCTGTTACTAACTCAGTAATCTTATGTAAAATGTTCATTTTAATTTCACAGCAAGAAGAGTGGCAAGGTTAAAACGGCTTATAAAAGAGAGTACCTTAATGCCGGTGTTGACGTAGATTTAGACTTTGCTGGTCCTACTATTCATGGAGCAGCAGTGGCCGGATATGAGGGATGGTTGGCAGGTTACCAGATGACCTTTGACACAGCTAAATCCAAAATGACCAAGAGCAACTTTGCTGTTGGCTACAAAACTGGGGACTTCCAGCTCCACACCAATGTGTATGTTTTTTAAAGACAATATTTTAATGATTTCTAATATAATTTATTGATCCGTGAGTCAAGGTGTAATGTGTATTTGTTTCCCCCCCATTTCCCTCAGAAATGATGGTTCAGAGTTTGGTGGCTCTATTTATCAGAAGGTCAATGATGACCTGGAGACTGCTGTGAATCTTGCCTGGACAGCGGGCAATAACAGCACTTCCTTTGGAATCGCTGCTAAATACCAGTTAGACTCCAGTGCCTCCATATCAGTAAGATATTCTCACATTTTCTTACATTTTAAAGATATTATAAAGTCTAGTTTGTAGTCCAGAATAAAAGACTAACAGTAACTTTCAGTGCTTAAATGATTTCATGTGGGTTTTTTTCCCCTGCAGGCTAAGGTGAATAATGCCAGCTTGGTAGGAGTTGGGTACACCCAGACTCTCCGGCCCGGTAAGAACAACCTCATTAATAATGTCCAATAAAAACACTTCTATATCTTAAGGACCTCGTTTCATTAAGTTCACTTAATATTTCAGGCATGAAACTCACCCTCTCTGCACTTGTTGATGGGAAGAATATCAATGCTGGTGGCCACAAACTAGGTCTAGGCCTGGAGTTGGAGGCATAAGAATAATGTCTGCTACTTCATAAGAAGAGGAAGGATTATCGGCAGAACCTGGCCTTCTGCCTTCCTGTGTGGTCAGCAACGTATATTCTAACGACTAAGCCAAAACAAAGTAGAACCCCCAGGACACAAGCACTGATGAGATGGAAACCTTTCCACCTACTTCCTTTGATTGTGGTTACAATAAGTAGTCAGTCACATGTATTTATTAATCAGCTATTACTCCTTTTAATTTACCATAATGATAATTATAAAAAAAACCTTCCACTTGCTGTTGAACATGAGCTTGTTTTGAGTTTGACAAAGACAAAGAGTGGTTTTCAAAACAAAAACTTGTTCCTTTGCTAAAGTGTGATCACATACAATGTAAACCTGAGGTGTTATTTTGCACAGTAGGATTTTTCCCTTAATTAAGCTCTTTCTTCTTTGTTTTATTTGCACATTTTATTTATATTTTGGTAGTACTGCCTGTGGAAGGGTTACTCCAACAAATTATGCTATGAAGACTGAAGCCAGCCTCCTGGCTGTGCTTTAGTTGTTTTCTCTAAGAAAACAACTAAAGAGCAGTTTGACTGATGTTTAAATGTTCTGACTGAAGAGTTTAGGACCTCTGCTAGCTGCTTCTAAGTTGCAAGGCTATGCTAAATACATTTTTATTTCCCTCACTGTGGCTTGAGTGACTGAGTGAATTATCCACCTTACTTCCCCTTTGAGGACTGTGACACTAATCAGGGAGCTGTTTGTGTGTTGGTGTGTGTCTACCTTTACAATAAAGTCCTGAAATCAACCTTTCTTCTCACCTCTAATTTTATGCCAATTAGAGGATATTATACAAAGTCAGTTTATTTAAATTATGCAATAACAAAACATGTGCAATTTACTTTAATCAAATACTCACACAGAAGGAACGTTAGGGTAGATTGCAGTTGACTGGGTTGTTTTCTTACGCCTCTCAGTTGAGTGCATAATCCTAGCTACAGTCGCTCCTATAGGACAAACATGTTTGAGCCAATCAAGAGAGATCAAAAACAAAATTTTAGTTAAGTTTAGGCTGTACCCCATAACTTCCACAGTCGGCTTGCTGACGTGTTTCTACTACTGTTTGCATAAAAACATTTTGTGATATCACTTAGCAAAAAACAGGGAATAATCTGTTTTTATCCCAGAGTTGCCTCAAAAACTGGCAACCTTTGATCTGTAGTGAATGCATTCATATTCTCGACTGGATTAACCACAAAGATTTTTCCTATTGTGTAAGCGGTCAGTTCACTGTTTATCTCAGCTCATGTCAGTGCCGTGTGAGAGTCATCCACCTTTATTTACTCTAGAAGAGGCTTTAAAACTTTGTCAAAGGAGATTTTGAATCTGTGAAGCTCACTTCTGACCAATGACAGCAATTTTAAGGTGAGTTGTTAAGTAACAGCTGTTGTTTTTGGTGCTGTTAGCCAGGGTTAGTGAAACTGTCTTTCTAGATATTTCTAGACCATAAAGGATTTTATTTATTGGAAATTATTATTCTTATACTCTTAGTATTCTCATAACCTTATTATTATTGTAAAATTTTGCCAAATGTTTGTATTTTTTCACAGTAAACCCTCCCCCCAAAAAATATGAACAATAAAACAAATTGGTGGTTGGCAGGCTACCAGATGACCTTTGACATAGCTGAATCCAAGATGACTAAGAGGAACTTTGCACACAGTAGAATTTGCCCTTATTTAAACCCTTTCTACTTTCATGTATTGTTAGTACTGTGCTACCTGTGGAAGGGTCACTCTAACAAAATGTGTTCTGAAGACTGAACCCAGCCTCTTGGTTTGGATTTGTTTCCCAGAGAGGCTTGATTGTGCTCAGTTAAGAGTTCAGGACCTCTGCTACCTTCAATAGCTGCTAAGTTGCAAGCCAACGCTAAATGCATTCTCATTTTCCTCACTGTGACTTGAGTCACAGACTGAGTGAATTAAACACCTTACTTCCCATTTTTGGACTGCGACACTAATCGGAGCTGTTTGTGTGTCCTTGACAATAAAGCACTGAAATCAACATTATTCTCACGTCTAACTTGATGCCAATTAGAGGATATTATATGAAGTCAGTTTAGTGAAATAATGCATAAACAAAACACATGGAGTTTTTTTAATTTTTTTTTAATCAAATCCTGTTGTACAACTTAAGTACTGCGCACTAGCAGTTACCCAGTGTTTTCCTATAAAGTGTATAAATTGTTGCACCTCTCAGATGTGCACTATAATTTGATGGCCAGGGTGACTCCATCTCCTACTGTCAACATGCTCAGATTAATTCGGGCATCTCTGTACAGCTTCCTGTTCAGCTTGTCAATGGCCACAGTGTCTGCGTCATCTGGGGATGGATTCAGCACCTTCCCACCCCACAGCACCTGCAGCACCAGACACATTTTTATAGAGGTTTTGCTGCTTGAACTGGCAAGGTGCAAGAATTTGTGTTTTGTGCTTATTTTGGTTGTAGAGCTTACATTGTCGATAGCAATGACGCCTCCTTTTCTCAACAGCTGCAGAGACTTCTCGTAGTAGTTGTCATAGTTAACTTTGTCAGCATCGATGAAGATGAAGTCAAATGTTTCTGCTTGGCCAGAAGACAGGAGATCATCTGAAAGAGACAATGACACAGAGGGGAAAAGGAAGTCCCTTAACATGTCCATCTCAGAGTATTGTAGCTGTCACACAGCTGGTGTACTACAAAGAAACTTTGACAAAGCTTGGCTTAATTTGCATCAACTGCAAACCCTCGGCAGAGATAGTGGCTAACACAGTGGTGATTATCGTCTCTCTTTGTTAACCCAGGCTTTCTGCTTCAGGCTCTGTGCACGCTCACATAAAAGGATGGATGGATCAACCAAGTGCCATTTACTTCAGTCAGATACCTTATCAGAAGAATGTGTGATAGAAATCTATAAAGAAAGGGCTATGAAACAATATACATAATACCAAGAGCCAACATTGGTGCTGCTCATCATTAATGGTGAATTCATATGCAAGTTTATTTTTTTTCCACTCTGTGTGCTTTCAGTGCTGGATTTTATTTCAAATTTGACAGCTGCACACGAGCTTTGAAGGCTTTATTACTTCATCATAATTTTAAAAAAGTATATATTTTTTAAATTTATTTAACTTATAGCGTGTGCGTTATTTAACTTATAACTGTAAAAAGCTCAAATTTGGCAATTTTCTATTAAGAAGCACATTTAGAGAAATTGCAGGTCATCAGCCTGGAAATGATTGTTCAGTGGATGTGGAATGACCCTTACATGACTTATTTCTAAGTAGGCACACCGGATCTACCACCTCCCAAATCCCACTTTAACATCTGAATGTAAGACTATAAAGTACTACTTTACTTGCAATGTTACTTTAGTAGTTATTTAGTATTTATTAAATCATACATGGTGAAAGATTCCAGAAAGTTATTTTAACGATCCATGCTACCCTGGTACCAAACTCTCTGACTCAAACCTCCATTAAACTGTATCTGCAACAGGTATTATCTTTTTCAACAAGTTGAACCTTTACCAACCCCAGTTGAAGTACTCGCAGAGCAACACCCCCAGAGTAATTAAATCAGTTGTTGGACGCAGACTACCACAAACTGCTCTGTCCTACTAAAGGAAATTGAATGCATCCTCAGACCTTTGGGAAAGACATTTTTGAACATTTTTATCAGTAAAATGCAAATCTCCAGTTAAATGTATGAGAGTAAATAAAGAGAAACATTACTGTACCTAAAGTTTTCAGTGCTGGCTGAATGCGCAGATCAATTTTTTTCTCGACTCCAGCCTGTTAATTGAAAGAAACAATGTTTTAAAGAGTAAAAGAAGTGAAGGGTGTGTCACAAAATATCAGGAAGCCTGTTGCTGATACATTTATCTGCATGATTATTCAGTTACCTTTCAGACTCCGTTACAGAGATGTATTGTGTAACACTTGTTCTTACCTAGATTATTATGTTTAAAGCGCTATATAAGAATCAGACCATTTAAGCTCTTCAGGTTCTGTTGACACAAATTACTGCTAGGAGATTTGCCTTTCGACAGATATTTTCTTGCTTGATTTTATTTCAAGATTTCATAATTACACTGCCATAGTCAACTCATCATAGACGAATCATCTGAATATTTCTTATATATCAGTCATTTAAATAAAATAAAAACCTGCTAAATCATTTTTGTTTAATAAAGTGATATCTTTATGTGATATCTATAATCAGTTACAGTAGGCTTTTCTTTTACTCAACTATGTGCAAAGATGTCAGACAGAGCTATATACTTCCCCTGTGATAACTGACCATGCTCGGCACTGTTCAGCACTTTGTTATAAGCATTATTACATCTAATAAAACAATAAAACACAGATTTGAAGCATACCTCTTTCCAGAAGGGTTTACCAATGTTGGTGTACTCTTCACTGATATCGCATGCTATCACAACTCCATCTTCAGGCAAGGCCAGTGCCATGTTCAGTGTGTTGTAACCTGTATAAACTCCTATAGACGCAAGAAGAAATCATCATTGTGCATGACAACAGAAAGGGGGTGTGATATACTGCATGCATATTAGAAAACTGATTCAATCATTAAAATCGAGTTTACTTTGGTCTGGCAATGAACTAAAGCAGCATCCACGGCTCCTTGATTAGGATTGATTGCTAAACATGCCACTTTGAAGACTTGCCTGCTCTATGTCCTGCTCTCTATGCAATTTCCTGTGCACTCCAAGTAGCCAGTGTTTTGTGTTCATACTGTGCAATGTTACCGTGTTTGAACAGGTGAAAAAAAGGGAAAGCTTAGTCATAAAAGCTGCGCATGTTTTTATCAGTTGGATGTTCGTGTGATGTTAAATTCGTCACCCTTACCAATCTCTATCGCTTTCTTTGCTTTTATTAGTTTGGCCAAATTGGCCAACAACTGTGACTCTTCAGAGGCAACCATCATCACGTTCCAGGAGTCTTCCATTGTTCTCTGAAAGCAAGCGGAGCGGAAGCCGGTTAAATAAAATTTCATAATGCCATATGAAACCTGATTAGGTTTATTACAATAGATTTGCCAGAGCACAAGCAGCAAGACCTCCTTACCAGTTTGAGTTTTTTCAGCACCGGATGCTCCCTCACGGAGTAATTGACAACATACTGTAACAGTGGATTGTCTTTCCCCCCGCAGTGACTTTTGGAGATGCTCATTCTGGAAGATTTCTTTCTTCCTGAGGGCACAAACAAACCATAAAAAAGACATATCTTTCTACTTTCTATATCTACTTAAGAGCACAATGATGTCAGAGGACTCCTAGCCAGCTTAAACATCTTTCAGGAAACCAAAGATCTAGTTAATAAGTAGAAGTTATTTGATTAAGTTCAAACCCAAACGATTTCAACAAGGAAATTAAATTATTGCAGCAGCAGCAAAGACAAAAAAATAATATTGAATACTGTAAGATAAGATAACCTGACATCTTTTGTCAAATATAATTTGGTAGACATAGAACATATCCATGTGGCATCTGTAAATTTGTATAAATATGGGGCCTAATGTACTGTAAAATGGCATTTAATCAGCTGTAAAAATATGACTTAAGCAGAAAAAAATAACACTATCTTTGAGGGAGTTTTTCTAACATTTTTACACTCTACACACTGTATTTTAAACTGAGCAACTGTATGGGATGATTCTAAGACTGAAGTCGAGAATAAATCATTTATTACAAACAATTATTATTTGCACGTGAACCATGCAATTTGTATTGTAAATGTCACTTCAGAAGCTGTTGGGTTTTCTGCAAAGCCTTACACTAGGTGTTCACTCAGGCTTATATAAACTTTATGCATTACAAAATATAATCTGAATCTAAAAATAAGATTGATGTGATCATGGAGGCTGTGTTTTTTTTTTTTTTTTCCCAGATTCAGCTTCTCATAAGTTCATTAGTGCACCAACATATTCTTCATTTTGTGTTGTACCAACGTAATTCACACAATTTACAACTTCCAGATCACTGGAAACCGCATATTTATTTCAATAGACCCCAAATCAGCGTCGAAGCTCTGACCTCTTAGATAGACAGCATAAACACAAACTCGAAGTGTTTACAGCGACAAAACATGAAGTGGAATATTTTTTTGGTTTAATTGTCTGTATTAACAGGAAGAAAAAAATACGATAAACGGATCCTGAGATCTGATTTTTGAAAATTTCCCGTTCAAAACAACGCAACAAATACAGGCTAAGCGTAAACATAACTTCCAATAATAAAACCACTATAACCCTGAAGCTTTTAACTTGCAGTAATAAAAAAGTACAATTTTAAAAAATACCATAGAAATCTGAGTCACACACAATTCTCCTGTATTCCACTCATTAATAATAAACATAAAAAACAAACACCATATCTATGGTTCGGCTTTAAGTCACCTTGCGCACACCTTGTTACAGACAGGCTTTCTTGCTTTAGCGACGACGTCACGTCATAAGGATTACTTTTTGTAGCATTGTCCGCCTTTGAACTTACCGATAAAATAGCCGGCAACAAAAACAACACCAAGCGTGATGGAGCCCACCAGCACTTCTTTAGAAACGATACGAAATGACATTTCTTTCACAAATTCAGCGCTGTTTGAGCTCTTCCGGGTTTCCTCGCCACTGTACCGTAATACTACGCGTAAAGGCGCCGCTCCGGGGTGGGTGAAAGGCGATTACAATTCTACGTCTGCGTCTCCTACTGTTTTGTGTTCTGCTTGGCACAACACCACGAGTAAAATGTAAAATCAAAACAAACAAGAGAGGCAATTCAGAAAGAAAGGGTGACAAGAAGGGAATGTGTGTTTGATAAACATAATAATTATAGCGGCGGAATCATTTTAACTAACGGGAAAAACATGTTGCATACCCACTCAGGGTTTTAAATAAATTGTATACTGTAGCTGCAATCGACTACACGAAAACGAGAACTCACCGCAAAGTAGAGACGGGTCTGGTGTGGTTGGTCTGGAGGTGCGACAGAAGCGCGAATAACTCAATTCCTGCTTGACCAACCTTAAAAATATGGCCATTCATGTATTCATAGTGACGATCATGTGACCTGCTTCAGCTCTCCTGATAGGACTGTAAAACAGAAACCTAACGGCAGAAAGAAAATGGGTCACTATGATTTAAAGATGCCAGGAGACAAATATCAGAAAGTGTAACTGTAGTCATAATAAAACACGCACATTCGCACATTAAATAAATTTGAAACAGATTAATGTGTATTTCTAATGATTAACAAGTACCTGAACTAGAAGTACGTTTCATGCAGAAAGTTAAAAGTTTTCATTTCTATAGTTCTGCACTATAAAACGTCATTGTAAGGATACTTTTTGTTACTTTTGGTGCTAATTTTATTTCATTTCATTCATAATATTTCATGTTTCTTCGTGTGGAGCATTGATGGGGTTAATGTTGCATGCCATTGCATAATCCCCGCTTGCACTGGTTATTGTTCTAGTGGTGCAGCAACTGACTCACTGTGACTCATCATTTTTTTGGTTAATTTATTTATGAGAAACATGGTTTACTGTAAAATCTACTCAGGTTTTATATGCAGTCTAAATCTGCAAAGTAAAAACAGCTGTTAGTGTAGTAAAGTTAAAATTTAAAAATTGCAATATGGAAGTATAAAGTTTTATACAAATAAAAATCATGAAATGCAGTGTCAAAAGCACGTATTTTTACGTCTGAAACCATAGACTGAAAACTGTAAAGTAGGCTGTAGAATCAGTGAGCGTTTCACTCAGATTAAAGAAACAAATGTAACAAATAATCAAATACAATTTAGTTAAATTCAGTGACATTGAATTCAGTGACATTAAATTTACAGTGTACTTTGAAATTCTGTGGGAAATAGCAATATAACAACACCTGATATTACATCAGCCAAGTGTAGGTCAGGACTTTGATTTATTTACTGATAAAGAATTAGTAGGAAAATCTAAAACTGAAGAAAACTGAATAGTTTGTTTTTAAGAATTTAATTAATCTCTGCTGATTTATTTATTTTTTTAGGCTGTAGTTTTTATTTTCCATACAGGTCACAGACTTAAGTATGATTCAGTTGGTTCAGGGTATTTTAGGTAGGGCTTAAGATGGTTTTTCTAGTTATTTTATAGGATATAAGGAAAATAATATATGTAAATAATTTTTCCCAGCCCTATTAGTGATAGCATAAACTCTAAACTTTAGTGCCACTCAGGAATTAACTTTTCTTTGGCACAGTGGCACGTTGTGTCCCATAATCAATATTTTTATTTCTATGGAACTTTATACACTTTAATAAAGCCAAAGTTTCCATTTTATTAAAGTGCGGAGGCAAATACTATATTTATGATAGTTTACTGCAGTAATAATGCAGTAGTACTTTGCAGATTCCCTTTATCCACATCCTTTATCCTCCAATCTCAAGTCCTCTACCAGAGGCCTGGGAGCTTTAGGGGCCGATACAGTATCTTTGTTGTCCCTAGCTGTGTGCTATTCTGGACAGAGATGTCGGATGTTGTTTCTGGGATCTGTTTAAAGTTACTTGCCCAGATTGGGGGTCACTGCCCCGAGTACTGTGATTACCACGGGGACCACTGTTGCCTTCACCCTCCACCTTGGGCTTTTTTTTGTTTGTGTTTGTGTCACTTCTTCCTGATGTTGCTATCATTTGGTATAGTTACATCTCACATTATGGGCTTCTTCCTCTGCTTGTCCACCACTACTATGTCCAGTTGTTTAGCCAGTTTGTCCATCTATTTCTGGAAGTCCCACAGGATTTTAGCTCGGTCATTCTCAACATTTTGACCATTTTGACCTTGGGACTTTAAGGCCATACTTGGCCTAGATGCTCCTGTGTACTATGCTAGCCACTTGGTTATGACATTGTTGGCCATGTATGCTTTGTCTGCTAGTATCTTGCACCCTGCTGTTATGTGCTGGATCGTCTCAGGGGCATCTTTGCACAGCCTGCACATGGCACTTGTCTGGTGTGGCAGACCCCAGCCTCCTGTGCTGCTATGTCCAGCCATTGGTCGGCTTTCCCATTGTCAACTACTTTTTCTGTCTGTTGGATTTTATTGTATTGTATTGGAGACAAAGGCTGAAAGGTCTGTAAGGCTGTTGGACTCTGATGATGCTTTGTAGCCTCTGATTCTCCAAAATAAGATAAATGTTGTACTATCCAACACACACAGCTCTGAGACTTTGAAATTCATTTATATTTATTTGTATTTTTCATTTTCTTATTGAAAATCCACTTTAAACATATTCCTGGTTACACTGTTACGCTGTAAATATCTTTCTTGTTTTTCTATATATTGCTCTCAGTGTGTGTTATTCTTTTGGGTCTTTGCCGTGACATGAACTTCACCTCATGTAAATTCATGTGCTGGAATGACCCAGTAAAAACCCTTAAATCTTTGAAAACCAATTCAATTAAAATGCATTTCGAGTAGTTAGTTATTACCAGCCTTCATTGCTTTGGTTATAGCGTAAAGACAACAACAACCATGTTCTTATGAAGCTTATCAGTGTATTCTTGCTCTAAGGAATGAGTTATTCCATGTGGAAAATTACAAAATAATTCGTCAAAGTTTCACAAATTAGGGTGTACTTGTCCCTTTAGCAGAACAGTGTACACTACCCAACTGTCTCACTTTCTGGTTCCAAATTTGACCCCAAATTCCCATTTGTCTTTTACATGTTCTAATGTTTGTTAACTCCATGTGAGCACTAAGACAATATGTTTTTGTCTCTTGCAATTAATTTCCAACATCTCTGTCCTAATATTACTCCTCCTCCTTATATAACTCCTTTTATTCCTTGAGTATCTGTCAGTCTTCACATTGTTAATATTTAAGTTTAGTACTCATTTGAACTTTATTCACATATTATAAATAAAATCATCCATGACATAAATTATTAGCTAATCATAAGTAATACTGTATATAATGTGATCAAGATTAGATTATTTTGTTTTTTTCTTACATTGTATTTGCTAAACAGAAAGTTAAATGAGAAGACTTGTAATACAAGTGTTCTTACACAAGGGGGCAGCATCCTCATAGTAATGAAATCCAGCTATTTCAATGTGAGGTTTTGGTTTACCGCCCACTAAACAAGAACAGTGGCCTGTAGTTTTATCTGACATAGTTTGTAGGTTTGAAAGACACATTTTTGTTGTTGTTTTAAGCAGTTGTTTTATTCACATGTGGATTATTAGTGTTGACCTTTATGCCATTTAAATCGCACTGGTTTGACCCCTGTGTTGATGTGGAACAAGACGCATGACATAATGCAAACTTTTAAACGGCTTCCTTTGTGTATCTGCAGCATGTGCCATCCTGATGACTGCTGTTCGGTCAGGGAGTCACAAAGAGATGAGATTACCCTACAGTGTATAGATACAGTAAGTGTTGCACACACACTTCAGGGAAAGTATCAGCTAATAAACCAAGCAGAGCACAGACGGCCTTTATTTATTGTGGCGTACTGGAACATTTTTATTCTGTCACACTGGGCCATTTTGATTAAAAGCAGGGTAAGCGTTAAGATTATTACTGTTGCGCTTTTGTTCAACAAACTGCCGTCGAGAGCCATTTAAAAGCCACAGCTTTGATTAACACCTCATTCTAATAACTTCTATGACTCATATGCCACTCAGGATAACAGGGGAGAAAAGCTGCTGTAAGTGTAGACTCGAAGCTTTTAAACAGCTATTATTAATCTTTATCTCGTTTCAAAAAAACAAAAAAATTGGTTTGAGCTTTAAATCTTGTCACGCAAAGTAAAAAAAAAAATTGATTAATAAAAGAGCGGAATAAAGATTTTAGAGGAGCATTTGTGGGGATGCGTGCTAGTGATGAGAAATACATTTTCAGTTGTTTACAGTAACCTCAAATTAGAAGAAAAATTGTTCTTGATCATCTAAAAATGAGAGACTAAGTAACAATAATTGAAAATGCTGTTAAATACATAACTCAAATATACAGTAACATGGTGAGCAAATACTGACAGGTCAGAACAACAGCATCCTTCATATTGTATGGTACAAACCCTCCAACAATTAACAACTAATTTAGCTGAAAATTAGCAATTAAAACCCAGAATTGTTACCATGAAAGCCGACTAATGAGTATTACAACAACAATTAGATGTGTTTTTGTTTTATATCTGCCCTCTATACATATTTCCTGTGTATATAAAAGTTAAGATGCTTTTAAGGTTAATTATTTGTGTCTTTAAAAAAAATCTTTTAGCAACTCTGGCTGCTGAATCTTTTATGTCTATAATTTTTTGTGAATGGAGATTATATACAGAATGCAGTGTTTCAAAACACTCATTACACTGAATGAGGAGCTTTGTAAGTCCTGTGCATTTGGAGGCCAGTAATACAACACTGTCTGTCTGAGTCAGCCACACTGGGCTGGATTCATTCTCAGAGTGCAAAAAGATCAATTGCTGCTTCTAAATGAAACTTTTCCGCACCGGTTGTACCTGACAGATAACTTGCTATCTCTGCACTTTCTGATCTGCTGTACCAAGGCAGAACTCGATGCTGACCGGCCGCTGCTGGACACTGACGGAGCCCGAACAGCTTGAGAGCATCGTGTATTTCTGCAGGAGGTTGGGACACTTGCAGCTGGGC